GACACTGGGTTCCGCGGAACCCTTACAAATTTTATTTTGTTAATCCATCTTTTTTATACGCCCGTTTACGGGACGTTTTATGGTATACCTCTATCCGTCTGTCTGTCCGTCTGTCGTCAACATGTCGGACTTTAACTCAAAAACACTTCCACCAATTTGCATAAAACTTTGGTGAATTGTTCATACCTATTGACGTGAGCTCCCTTTCTTTTTTATAAATTTTAGATTTTACGTTTCTGAGTTGTGGGGTTTATTCATTAAAAAAAGGGGGATTTTCCAGTTTTCGGACAATAACTCGAAAATGCTTTCACCAATTTGCAAGAAACTTTGGTCAATTGTTTATATCTATTGACATGAGCTCCCTTTTGAATTTTATAAATTTTAGATTTTACGTTTCCAAGTAATGGAGTTTTATTCATTAAAAAAAAGGGGGATTTTCCAGTTTTCGGACAATAACTTAAAAATGCTTTCAGCAGTTCTCATGAAACTTTGGAGAATTGTTTATATCTATTGGATGTAAGCTCCCTTTCAAATTTTATAAATTTTAGATTTTACACTTCCGAGTTAAAAAAGGGGTGATTTTCCAGTTTTCGGACAATACCTTTAAAGTGCTTTGAACAGTTTTCATTAAACTTTGGTGACTGGTTTATATCAATTAAGATAACCTCCCTTTAGTTTTTCACAAATTTCTGATATGACATTGAGAAGTTATTGAACTTTATTCTTAAAAAATGTGACTGGCGTATCGTGCGCTCATGGCGCAGCTCTTTATTAATGTATGTTTACATTTATTTGATTTCTATAAAAGTTCATTGAAAATCATTATTGAATTCATGCAAATTGATAAAGCTTTAATAAATCTTTTATATATTATCAAATTTTTTACAGGACAGTTTTGGGTCATTGTGTTGTCTGAACAATTTTTAGTGCAGTATATTCAGAAATTATTGTGATGTATAAATTTTATTAATGCCAAAAAAGCAACAGTAATAGGTTCGCAATAATAAAAACTTGCATTCATCATGTTCATAATTTCATTAGTGATTTTCCTTCATATAATTTTTGCATGCAATTGCATTAATCAGATTTCACATTTTTATACGCTCGTTTACAGGACGTATTATGGTATACCGTTGTCTGTCTGGCGTCAACATGTCGGGCAATAACTCATAAATGCTTTAACCAATTTGCATGAAACTTTGGTGAATTGTTTATATCTATTGACGTGAGCTCCCTTTCCATTTTTATAAATTTAAGGTTTCTGAGTTATGGGCTTTTATTCATTAAAAAGGGTGATTTTCCTGTTTTCAGACAATAACTCAAAAGTGCTTTGAACAGTTTTCATGAAACTTTGGTGACTAGTTAAAATCTATTAAAATAACCTCCCTTAAGTTTTTTATAAATTTCTGAAATGACATTGAGGAGTTATGGAACTTTATTCTTTAAAAAAGTGACGAGCGTATCATGCGCTCATGGCCAAGCTCTTTATTGCCAGAAGTCAAGGATTCGCAATAATATATTAATTTCTAAATTTACAGTAATATATTTTTTAATCTGTATAAAACCTTTGTGATGTAACAATATACTTTTGTAAAAAATGTGAATGATGTTTTGGAGATAAACATGTTTACAAAAATTTTGAGTTATTCTATTCATAGCCAAAATTTCTGCCAAAACATTTTGCACTGGTGTAAATTGTATTTGTGCGTGGCAAATAACATGAAAAGTCTTCCTCTGGAAATTAACTTTTAGTGGACAGAATAGATTTACTACACCTAATTTCACAGGACAAATTACCTTTAGTACTGTAAATTCAGAAAGAAATTTTTACATGCTTTTATTATTGACACAAATACAAGATTGATGAATGCAATATCATGAAATACTGCATCAGAGATGCAGATAATTTTTTTCCCCTGTCAGACATTGGGTCCTGCATGTAAGTCAGTTTTGCCAGTCCTATCAACGATTTGCCAGACCTACTTATTTTGAAAAATAATAACTAGTTCCCAGTTGGATTAAGAAACGCCTTAAAACCTAAATTAGAACGACCAGGTTAAATAAAGATATGACAATGGGGTGGTTTAATGACTGAGACCAAAATTAATTTAAATTATCCTGCAACCAAATCACACTTGCCATTAACTATATGGATAGTTAAGTCTCCCAAACGAAGTTTGGGAAGACATTGTTTTTGCTCAGTTCTTATTATTATTATTATTCTTCTTCCTCTTCCTCTTCCTCTTCCTCTTCCGCCGCTTTTAAATTTGAACTTGTCCGCACCCGTTCTCCAAAACCGCTTGTCAGATTAACTTAGGGTTTCACAATATGTTAGACTAACATGTCTAGTGGTGCAATCAGGGTTTTGTTTGTGCAATGGGGTTTATAAAGGGGTACTTTGAGGGGCAAAAAGAAAAGAGGGTTTTACTATTGAACCCTATGGGATTTTATTTTTTAAAGTTTTCAAATGATTATAAATTGAAAACCGTTTGTGATAGACACAATCTTTTTAATTGAAAATGTTCTAAATGATAAAACCCATTAAATGAAATACAGGGTTAGTCCCCAGGGGTCATCCCCACCCCCTGCCATTTAAGAAAGTTCTAATACCTTGTAAGTGGTCAAGATCCCAACCCCTAAACCATATATATTCTGGTTTGTCATGCTTAGATGGTTTGAATGATATACAGGGTTAGTCCCCAGGGGTCATTCCGACCCCCTGCCATTTGAGAAAGTTCTAATATCTTGTAAATGGTCAAGATCCCCACCCCTAAACCATATATATTCTGGTTTGTCATAATAAAGCAAATGAAATGAAATACAGGGTTAGTCCCCAGTGGTCACCCTCACCCCATGCCATTTAAGAAAGTTCTAATATCTTGTAAGTGGTCAAGATCCCCACCCCTAAACCATATATATTCTGGTTTGTTATGCTAAGATGGTTTGAATGATATACAGGGTTAGTCCCCAGGGGTCATCCCAACCCCCTGCCATTTGAGAAAGTTCTAATATCTTGTAAATGGTTGAGATCCCCACCCCTAAACCATATATATTGTGGTTTGTCATGCTAAGATGGTTTGAATGATATACAGGGTTAGTCCCCAGGGGTCATCCCGACCCCCTGCCATTTGAGAAATTTCTAATATCTTGTAAATGGTCGAGATCCCCACCCCTAAACCATATATATTCTGGTTTGTCATGATAAAGCACATCAAATGAAATACAGGGTTAGTCCCCAGGGGTCACCCCCACCCCCTGCCATTTAAGAAAGTTCTAATATCTTGTAAGTGGTCAAGATCTCCACCCCTAAACCATATATATTCTGGTTTGTCATGCTATGATGGTTTGAATGATATACAGGGTTAGTCCCCAGGGGTCATCCCGACCCCCTGCTATTTGAGAAAGTTCTAATATCTTGTAAGTGGTCAAGATCCCCACCCCTAAACCATATATATTCTGGTTTGTCATGCGAAGATGGTTTTAATGATATACAGGGCTAGTCCCCAGGGGTCACCCCCACCCCTGCTATTTAAGAAAGTTCTAATATCTTGTAAGTGGTCAAGATCCCCACCCCTAAACCATATATATTCTGGTTTGTCATACCAAGATGGTTTGAATGATATACAGGGTTAGTCCCCAGGGGTCATCCCGACCCCCTGCCATTTGAGAAAGTTCTAATATCTTGTAAATGGTCGAGATCCCCACCCCTAAACCATATATATTCCTGTTCATCATGTCTCGAACATTTGAATGACGTATACGGTCAGTCCCCAGGGGGTCCCCCCACCCCCAATGTTCTAATATCTTGTAAATGGTCGAGATCCCCACCCTTAAACCATATATATTCTGGTTTGTCATGCCAAGATGATTTGAATGATATACAGGGTTAGTCCCCAGGCATCACTAATGCATATACTTTACTGGATCAAACCAATTTTCACTGGACTTTGTCCAATGTCAGGCGACACTGGGAATTTTGAATTATGGGAGCTTCGTTTGGGAGACTTCGTAACAGCATCCTGTTACAATCATTTCTTGTTATTTTAATAATTGGCATAAGAACAATTAGATCAAAAACAAAGACAGTGGCAAGCTACATTTACGTCAAAACGAATATGCGTGTTCACACATTAACTAAAATGGAAAAAATAATACTTGTTTTTGTTTGATTTAATTTATATAAACCTGGTCATTAGTTGTCCTTTAATAGAACTTTGGGTTTGCAATGCTTTTCAACTACATAATTGATTTGGCCATCTATTCTTCCAACTGTTTTAATTCATGCACCACTGATTTGTCATATGGAGACAAAACCTGTGTTTGTTGTACTAACAATGTTCTCGTTAAGGTACGTATTCGCGCCCTGGACGCATGGTTTTCTGTCTGGACGCGCCATAGCATGAACCGTGAGTCCAAGGGACGCGTTCTAATAACACTTGCTGAGTCTTGTCATCATCAGAATTATCCCTCAGCTATTAAAAAGAAGCCAAAACATGCTTGTGTTCAATATGTTACCAGAAAATTACTTTATTTTTCATCCATTGCTATGTGTAAAGATAAGTCTTGAGAAATACAAAAAATAATTATGATCACATGACTTATGCTAGTTGGAAAAACACAGAGAAGATAGAAATCTGTTTACATCAGCACGTTTACCTATTACCGGCAATAAATGTGTCATTAAAACTTTTGGTTTCCAATGCTTTTCAACAACATAATTGATTTGGAAGCCAAAGTATTCAGGACTGACAGAAGTTTCAATTTTGAAGGCCCCAAACAGTAAAAATATTTGCCAGTCATTGGGTCTGACACAAAGACGTCATTTGCCGGACCCTCTAAATTTCTGCCCCCTAGGTCCGACAGGTACGACGATTAGCTGCATCACTGCTGCATAGAAATAATGCTATCAAAATTTAGAGTGTGGGTTTTTATTAAAAGACCTATCCCAAACATTTCTGAATTTACAGTGTATAGATAAATCTGTTTTTTTGTTTCTTCAGACGAACACCTTTACAATGTGCAGCTTATGGTGGCTATGTTAATTGTATGTCTGTTCTAATGGAACATAAAGCTGATCCTAATGATCAAGACAATGAGGTATTTTATTTTTTTGATTGGCTGCTCAATTGATGATTATACCGCATAAGAAATTTTAATTATGTTTTCATGAATCTCAACCCACCATTCAATTCTCAATGGTTAACTCCTGTATTCTGAATTGTCATGTCTTTTCACAAAAAATATTAGGGTTAAAATTAATTATAAGACATGTAAGATATACTGATAGGGTCCTGACTTACTAGTATTTTTTTCTCATAAGAATTTTTGTGAAAATAGGCCCATGATATTGATCTGGATATCATGGGAATTAAACTATCATCCAATTAAATTTTCTATTACACACAATTTCACATGTTGTTAATTCAACCATATGCATCAAGTTGCTAATATTAATCTTTTTAAGAGGGATTCCTACAATATATGTTTTTTTTTTTTTATTGAAACAGAAGCCAAGGTTATTATAGTGTTAAATAAAAATAGTATAGCTGTGTGCACAAAGAGGGATAACTCTAAGTAAAAAAGAAATTGTGAAACTTTCAACTAGCTTATCTCTAAAATAACATATAATATTGTGAAAAATACGACAAAGAAAAACTAATCTCAACTTTGAATATTGTTTTGTGTGTTTCAGGGAATGACAGCTCTACACTGGGCCTGTAGTAAAGGTCATCTTGATGCTGTTAAACTTCTGATGGAGTATAGAGCATTTCCAAACCACATGGAGTTTACTGAAGAGAGGTAAACAGGAATTATTGTTTGTTTCAGATCATGTAACATCTTGCAGCTAAGAAAACATCAAACAGAACAAAATAAAATCCATTATAATATTAATAATAATATTAATAAAAGTAAAACAAACACAAACTGAAAACTCTTCTTTGTAAGTATTAGATAAATAATACAGGAGATTGGCAATTATTGTGAAATCTAGTAATGTAATGCCGCCTCAGGATTTCATTGATAATGTTCAAGTTGGAATTAAAAATCTTATTGTCTCAAAAATCACAAACAAATATTTCAATAATACCTTCAAAACCTTATCAAGAAATTATTAAAAAAAGATTTAAAACCATTTTTATTCAGCAAAAAAAAGAAAGGAAAAAGAATAAGACCTAACAACACTACCCTTCCTTTTATGACATTTAATTTTTTTTATATCCTCTACCACTGCTCATAAAATCTTTATATTTAAAGAAATGTTATTTTCAAACTTTTTAACCATATCCGGTAAAATACTGAAAATGAAAAATAAAAAGAGAAGGAATATGTCTGTACATGAAAAAGTAGTTTTAAAAATTATGAAAGAGTAGTATATTATTTCAGTAGATTATATGGACATTAAATGGATCTGTCAATCTCTTGTATTATTAATCTCTTGATTGAAAAAAAAAACAACAAAAAAACTGTTAAGTTTATTGGTTCTTCTGTATGGAAAAGGTACATTTTAGTCTTTAACAAATAAACAGAACAAAATATAAAGAATAGAGAAGTTGGGTGCTTAAATACAAAAAAATAGAGAATAAGGGGCAAAATGTATAAAGAACAGAGAAAAATGGTTTACAAGTTAAAGAATACAGAATTGAAGGACCCCATCTAGATCCTCTATCTTATATCAGGTTATTTTTGCATCAGGATTTGTTCTTTGTTTGTTAAATCTTTGCTGTGTTTATTATTTGCATGTCCTGGCCTTGTACAATTCATTTAAATGAACAGGGAAATTTTTGGAGTAGGGTAAATTTTCTTTGTAAATGTCAGCCCTTATTGGCATGTTATCTTAGACTTGTAAACAAATCTCCTTCAGTGTGAAATTTTTTTTTTTTCAGAATTCTGATTTAATTTTTTATTTTTATGAATTTTTTTTTCTGTTACAGGTACACTCCATTGGATTATGCTTTGATGGGGGAGCACCATGATGTGGCACAGTATATGATTGAACAGGGGGCACTGTCGATTACGGGTATTCATGATATTGCAGCTCTGAAAATACAGGTATTAATTTTTCACTACTGATTGATGATACAATCTTAAAATAAAAAGGTGACCATGAACCAATAAACATATATCAAAAAATGACCTCATGGATTTTACAAGTTTTTATGACAATACACCTGTAATTAGATTTCCGGTCATTGACCTCTGTATTGATTTTTTACATTCTTTTATCAAGCATGTTTCCCTAAGATTTTCATTGATCACCAGAATAATTAATTATACCCCACGCAACGAGTTGCGGAGGGTATAATGTTTTTGACCCGTCCGTCTGTCCGTCTGTCCGTCTGTCAGTCCATCAGTCCGTCAGTCCTGTTTCTTGTCATCTCAACTCCTCTCAAACCACACAACAGAATTTCACGAAACCTTTTTAGATAATAAGGACATACTATGTAGTTGTGCATATCGACAGGAAATTACGATTCAATTTTTTTTCTAGGAGTTACTCCCCTTTGAACTTATTTACTTTAATGTACTACTGCAACAGTTTGTCATCTCAACTCCTCTGAAACAACACAATAAAATTTCATGAAACTTTGTAGATAATAAGGACATACTACTTAGATGTGCATATCGACAGGAAATTATGATTCAAATTTTTTTCCAGGAGTTACGCCTCTGAACTTATTTGCCCAATATATTAGTGCAACCTTTTGTCATCGCAACTCCACTCAAACCACACAACAGAATTTCATGAAACCTTTTCAGATAACAAGGACATACAACGTAGATGTGCATATCGACAGGAAATTACAATTCATTTTTTTTTCTAGGAGTTACGCCCCTTTGAACTTATTTGCTTCAATTTACCTCTGCAACAGTTTGTCATCGCCACTCCTCTGAAACCACACAACAGAATTTCATGAAACTTTGTTGATAATAAGGACATACTAGGTAGATGTGCATATCGACAGGAAATTATGATTCAATTTTTTTTTCCTGGAGTTACGCCCCTTTGAACTTATTTACTTTAATGTACTACTGCAACAGTTTGTCATCTCAACTCCTCTGAAACCACACAACAAAATTTCATGAAACTTTGTAGATAATAAGGACATACTACGTAGATGTGCATATTGACAGGAAATTACGATTCAATATTTTTTCTAGGAGTTACGCCCCTTTGAACTTATTTGCTTCAATATACCTCTGCAACAGTTTGTCATCGCAACTCCTCTGAAACCACACAACAGAATTTCATGAAACTTTGTAGATAATAAGGACATACTATGTAGATGTGCATATCGACAGGATATTATGATAATATTTTTTCTTCTTATACAATTTTTTTTCTTACAGTTATTTTATTTCTCCAGTGACAATGTGGGGACGTGGGGTATGTGAGCGCGCTCACTAAGGTTCTTTAATTAGTGATGCTTTGTGTTAGATTATGAAAAATTATTTAAAAGGTTTTATAATCAAGTAACTTTAATCATACATTAATGAGCTTGGTTGTGCATAAAGTGAGGATTAAGTGAGCAACTCAAAACTGCTCAATCGGTGTCTTTTAACTTTTGTCTTCTCTTGCTGAAAACGATAAAAAAAATTCTAAATTTTCTAAAATCTAAGAAATTATTTACTTATGTTATATAAGGGTTGTTTTCTTTTGACATGCCTTTGAAACAAATTTTTGCCTGGCTGAAAAACTCTTAGCAAAAATTGTTTCTGTACAAAGAAATAACAAAGAGACAAAAAACATAATTAAATTGTCTGGCCTTGACAGAGTCGAAAAGCGAGACATAGGTATGCTGTTTCCGGCGTCGGCGGCGTCAACAATGTATTAGTTTGTGATTAGGTCTAGTTTATGGTGAACCACTAGTGGTAGGTCAATGATATTTGGTATGCAGTTGTATTAGCATTGGCACATCTCATTACCATGGAGATTATTTGGCCCCACCCCCTCAGTCATGGTCTATTGACTTTGAAACTTTGCTTAGTTTACATGTATTAGTTAATGATTAGGTCAGTTTATGGGGAACCACTAGTGGTAGGTCAATGGTATTTGGTATGCAGTTGTATAAGCATTGGTATATCTCATTTCCATGGAGATTATTTGGCCCAACCCCCTCAGTCATGGTCTATTGACTTTGAAACTTTGCTTAGTTTACATGTATTAGTTTGTGATTAGATCAGTTTAAGATGAACCACTAATGTTAAGTCAATGATATTTGGTATGCAAGTTTCATTTCCATGGAGATTATATAACCCCACACCCTCATTATGGTATATTGACTTTGAAACTTTTTCATAATTTACAAGTTAATGTTTGTTTTTAGGTTTGTTTAAAGGGAACGGCTTATGAGATTTCAGTGGTATTTGATATGCAGTTGTATTTAAGCATTGGCACATCTCATTTCCATGGAGATTTTTTAACCCTGTACATTCAGTCATGGTTCATTGACTGAATATTTGCATAACTTACATATTAAAGTATTGCTATTTTAATTTCAACATTTGCATTATCAAAATAACAAATAGGCGAGACATATCTCTGTGTTAACAGTTTATTATAAAAATAAAAGACAATTAAAAACAGATACTTTGATCTCAGTCCAGAATATCAATCCCCGACCTATATGTATCTAAATTTATTTTAGCCGCACCAAGCTATTAAAGCAAGAATTGTGTCCCTTGGTCTGTCAAACATCTGGTATTTGTTTGAGTCCAACTACAGGGATGTCAAAATATTTCTCTGGTCCTTCGAGAGTTGACTGTATATGCAGCTAACTGACCATGATATAACATGTCTGAATGAACATATGTTAAAGATGTTAATAGAAAATTATCAAAAAATCTTGTTAATATGACTTGCAACAGTAAATGGACTTGGATAATATTGATAAAAAATCCAAATCATAAGTATTGACTGTTTTGGTCTTCCATTGAATCTAGATAAGTTATAGTCATCTCCCCTTGTTAGCAGAACCATTAAAACAAAATTTGAATGTACAGTATATTTTATTATGATATGTCAGGAACTGTTGATTGAATTTCTCTGAACAGTAATTAGATTCAGATAATATTGATAGAAAGTAAAATCAAAAGTATTGACTATTTTTTTGTCTTCCATTGAAACTAGATAAGTTAGAGTCATCTCCCCTTATGTGCAGATCCATCATAAAAAATTGATGTGTTTAGTATAATTCATTATAATCTGTTAGGAGCTGTTGATTTTAATGTCTTAAAACAGTTAATGGATTCTGATAATATTGATAGAAAGTAAAATCAAAACTATTGACTATGTTTTGTCTTTCATTTAAACCAGAGAAGTTAGAGTCATCTCCCCTTGTTTGCATTTGCAGAACCATACAAATATTTGAAGTATAAATTTAGTTGATCAGTAAATGGATTCACATTATGTTGAGAGAAAGTAAAATCAAAAGTATTGACTGTTTTTGTCATCCATTGAAACTAGATAAGTAAGAGTCATCTCCCCTTGTTTGCAGAACCATTACACAAACATTTGAAGTGTGAAGTATAATAAATTATAATCTGTTAAAAGCTGTTGTTTAATTTCTTTTAAACAGTAAAAAAATTCCAATAATGATATTAGAAAGTAAAATCTGAAGTATTGACTGTTTTGTCATCCATTGAAACTAGATAAGTTAGAGTCATCTCCCCTTGTTTGCAAAACCATTAAAAAAGTGTGCAGTAAATAAATTATAATATGTTAAGAGCTGTTGATTTTAAGTTCTTTGATCACCTGAAGGTGTCCAAATTATATTGTTAAACAGTTATGTAAAAATATTGATGGTTGTCTTCCATTGAAACTAGATAAATTAGAGTTACCTCCCCTTGTTTGCAGAACCATTGAAAAACAATGTTTAATGTTTGAAGTATAATCAGGAGTTGTGGATGTAATCACTTTGGAAAATAAATGGATTCTGATGATATTGATGAAAAGTAAAATAAAAACTATTGACATTTTTTGTCTTCCATTGAAAAGAGATAAAGTCAATGACAGAATCAATTTAGGACTGATCTCCTTTCGTCATGTTTTTTTTCTGAAACTCAAAAATCTTTCTACTATAAAAGGAAGCACCTTTGAGATTGCTCTTATATCTTCTATAGTGATAACACTGTTAAAGCTTTATCAAAGCTATGAATGACTTTAGGTTTTTAATAAAACGAAAAAAAAAAACATTTTGGTTAGATCAACTTTACAATACTGTAAATTCAGAAATTATTGCGTGCATTTATTATTGCGATTTTGTCATTTTAGACTAAAATGCGATTTTAATTTTTGCGATATTGAGAAAAATCCTGTTTAATTCATATAAAAAATTTCAAAATGCGAGTTTAAATTATTGCGATTATAACCCTGTCGCATTTTTCGCAATAATAAAAACATCGCAATAATTTCTGAATTTACAGTATTTAAAGTTGATGATTTATGGAGTTTTTTTTTTGTCAATTGATCATCAATGATGACCTTATTGTCGAAATATTGAGCTAACATACCTGCCAACCCTCCCGTTTTGAGCGGGAGACTCCCGCTCAAATGACGAAATTCGGGAAATCTCCCGCTTGCCGGTACTCTCCCGCGCAGGAGTATATAATCTCCCGCTTTTGCCGTTTTGGATATTTTAATCTTGAATGACAAGCCATCATTAATTACGTTTTTGTGTCACTGATGAGGGTTGTTTTACCTGTAAATCACAGACCATGTGAAATTAAATGGCTTCACTTGACAGCTTGGGTGTCAAACATAGTACATGTAATAATTAACAATCAATAACGACTTTTGCTACAAGCTTTGTGTTAGTATTGAAAACACTTCAAAGAAATTTCGGGTTACTTCCCCTGTTTAATCCTGTTTTAAGTTATTCTTCTTATTGCTCTGAAATTGTACCACAATGTTTAATACCACAAGTAGAAGGTTGGGATTCATTTTTGGGGTTATGGTGCCAACAGCTTAGAAATTAAGGGCCAAAAAGGGGCCAAAAACAAGCATTTTTGTAGTTTCAAGACAGTATCTTGGGTGAGTGTATGGATCTCTCTGACATTGTACCACAAGGTTC